CTGTATATATATATATATATATATATATATATATACAGATATAAATACTAGCCAACATGCATTGTATGTGCGCGCATGTATAAAATTCATGGTTACAAAATCCAGTCCATGCCCCATTCTAGTATAGTTCATTAGTCCTTCCAATCCAGTGTTTACAGACTCCCCATATAGCTACAAGGTATAAACATAGTAGCTATATTTTACAAGCATACACATAATACGTGATATGTTGATCACCATGCATCATAGTGATCATACATGTAGTACCGTTATCAATGATAACATTGTGGCGATGATATCAGAAGCAACAGCCATCCAATCTGCATGAAGCCAATCCAAAGATTGTCATTGATTACCGAGAGAACATCATACACTAACTACGTATTTCATTGAACTAAACTGTTTCAAATAGAACAGTATTTCTATTATACAGATTTATGTCCATTATGGGCATAAAAACTACAGAAACAAGATAGATAGCCTAATGTGAAAACGTAATCGCAAAAAAAGTAAACAAACAGGCTTAAGGTTTGAAACATAGTGTTCACATTATTTCTTCAAACTACAAATCCATATTTTGACTCTATGTCTAAAAGCTAATATACTTAGGAGAGTTTAAATTTGTAGCTTGAAGAAATAATCTCAACATTATGTCTCAAACTTTAAGTTTGTTTCTTTTTGTTGTTGTTTTTTTTTGCGATTGCATTTTCAATTTAATCACCTACCTTGTTTCTATATGTTTTGAATATTTCTATTTCCCCTTTTTAAATTAACAATTTCTAATAATTTTGTAACAATATTATTTATCATATGAAGAGTAACCTGACAAGATAATATATATGGTGTTTGTTATGTCTTTAATTGCTGGTACTGGTTTTATACTTCACAGGTCATGTAAGTGTGAAATATGGGTGACTCTCAGTAGTTCCTGAATAGGCAATAATTACACCAAGAATTGTAATTTACTCCTAAAAATTTATCATATCTATTATAATGTTCGAATACATTATGGCATATTACCACCGTAGGCTGTTTCCAAACATAATATTTTGTTAAAGAGTTGATGTTTATAATATTTGTAATAACCAACAGATAGTCTCTTGCAATAAAAGGATTAGAGATAACTTGCGCAGCGATACCGTCGCAATTTAATTTCTGATTTTTCTCTGTGCTCTGAAACTTTTTAGCGTTGTACTCGAAATCTACTGTATTCAGACGACAGAAAAAACATAAGGAAATGAAAAATGTTCTTAACATCTTAGTTGTTAAAACAAAATTAGCGACGAATAAAAAAACAACATTTGTTTGTTTCTGAGTGAAGAACAAAATTAAAAATTGTCTAAAATAGGTAATTTGGAAACAGGCGAGGGATAAGCTACTTAATAATATACATAAAGCTTAAATAAAGTAAAAATTGAATTGAATAAACAATGATTTAAAATATATAATTTAGTTGATTGTACTAAATGTTCACGTTATTAAGTGTAAAATGGGACAGTTTAATTTTACATAGCGTTTTTACACATTATTTTTTATAGGGGACACTTCGAAAGAAAAGAGAAGGACTCAAAGAAGAGAAGGGACACCAGAGGTTCGTGAAGAGGAGATTGTTATTGTTGTCCTGGTTCTGGTCGTATGGGTAGCAGTTATTCTAGTTTTCTTCAACAAATGGGGAAAAATTCGAATGTTGGAGCCATACCAACCGGATTACCGAAGCCCTTTGTACAAGTCAACTCGAGTTAGTTTAGCGGACCCTATTCTCGAGAGAGACTTGACAAGGGGAAGTCGCATAGCTCTTGGCGGACAGTCTCGACAGAATTCAATCCTTATGGGTTCGACCTCTGGTTGTCTTCGGCAAAATTCAGTTTTTGTTGATCAAACAATGATGTTTATGGAACCTGGAGTACCGCGAAAAGTGAAGAGTGCCGAAGATATAAAATCTTTAGTGGTTCAGATTGGTTATCAGCGTAAGAACATCGACCTCTAGTAATTAAACAATTAACATACAATGAGCGGTCATTGTTAACTCTGTAATACAAACCCAACAACAAAAACAAATTTCCATAACAAAATACTAATTTTTGTTACAAGTAAATACCACTAATTCTCGTAATATTCTTTAACTAAAGGAGAATAAATAGCAAAATATCAGTATTTTGAACCTAATATATATTTCTTTGTGATGGAAAATCAAACAAACTTATAATAATGAGTGCGAAACTGCCAGTGATAACACCAGTAATGAACCACCATACGCAACGTTTCGGTCCAAACGTACATTTATCTTTTAACTGGGCTAAGAAACACTGGAGAATCGAAAGCAAATATTAGTTTAATAGCAGAGGGCAGAATTTACACAGTGGTGTAACTTCCCAAGATGTAGAAAAGCGTTTTTAAGATTATTCTAGGTAATGAAAATATTATCTTTGAGAAAATTCTAACGTTGATAATAAAAGGAAAACACAGGATGTTTTCAAAGCTTTTTTCTATCTTATGTCAAAAAATAGGTTACTGTTTTCTAGAAAATGTATTTAAAAGCAAGTGGATTATTGTTATCGAACAAATCAGGTAGCTTAGACATAAAAAAATATACCAGCTTTCTTTGTAAGAATAGAGGTGCTTGCAGCTAAATTCTTGATAGTGATAGAAATATAGGAGGAGAATTCTCATACCACCGATCCTAATATCATCTAAGTATAAAATAATCAATTGGCAGACACTACTGTTTGACTAACAAACAAGATTAAACTCTTGCAAGATATAAATAAGTTTACTAACTAATTTGAAATCAATGTTTCGTTGACTTTTAGGCGCCTATATATACACAAAGACACATTTTTCCTTATATGGCGTGTCAAGGTCATCGCGAGAACGAGGCTGAGCATTTTGACGAGTAAACAAAGCAAATTATCTTCATTCATTCCACCCCTGACTACAGCCATCACATAAATCATCAGGCGGTTAAATATAGAGATCCACACACAAATATATTTTATCAAACCTCACTTCTTTCAAAGGTAAGGTTTAATAATGTATATGTGTCTATTAAGAGGAAAATAAGTGGGATAACTACAGTCGTATGGGCGATAATAGAAACTTTTTAGGCCTATAATTTAATCAACAGCCAGCTCTATACTTTAAATCTGACTGTATATTAACAATCCTATTCCATATAACTTCGAGCTGCCCCTTCTCATTATATTGTGATGTTTATGTTTCAGAATATATTTACAATACCTAGGACTTAAAACAGGATGAAATACAAACATAGGAAAAACGTTACTACTTATATAGAT